GCAGGAATCACCTTTGCCCTCCCCTCTTACACCGTGCCTGTCGTGGTGGGATGGCGACCTGTGACAAAGTGATGGCACCTGGTTCAAAGTTTGACTTGAGAGGGTGACACCAGGGATATCTGCAGTCTGCTCGATTAAAATTCACTTTCAGAAACTCATCATTTTGGATAAGAGATTAGCATTATTATTTTTATCACAAGACCACATAAAATAGATCCCCACCAAACATCGTGCCTGCTTTGGAAGTTAACAAAGGCCACCAGCTCTTTCAAAATCAGCAGGGATTTTGTCCCTTCAAAATGAATGGCCATAGAAGACCTTTTTTTGGGGTAGAGTTCCCCAGCACTCTGCATTTGCAGTGTCATTCTGCATGCAGCCTACAGTGTTTTGACATTTGATGATGCATCACCCCAAAAATGTCTTGAGCACTCCAATTTTAGGAGACCTAGATAATACAGCACTTGGGGGAAGAAGGTGCAGCACATAAAAATAGTGCCTTTGCTCTGCAGGCCAGTTCATTGCCTTCATTTAGAGAAATCATACATAGAAAATACTGATGAATGAGGTTTGGTGGAAGTTCACCCTATTTTTTTGTTTTTGCAGATCATTGATACTTGTGTGACAGGGAGCTGAGTGTAGAGTGTGCAGGCTGTGAGAGGAAGATCCACTTCATGAAGTCTACACTTTCTGTTATGAAAAAGAGGAACTCAAAAGGTGTATTTTGCTTAAATCCATGGTCCCTTTTGCTTAAATCCGTTTACAATATGCTAAGAACTGTCATCCTAAAGTCTTCCTCTTGCTGCAGTTATAAATAGTCTTTCCAGTGCTGCTCATTTCAATAATATTTGATAGCACCTTGCATCTGAAGGATGATCCAAAGATCAAACTTCAAAGTCTTGAAACTCAGTGTTGAAGCCTTCTAAAAAAGTTAGCCTCAGAAACAGGGTATGAACTTCCATTTTCTAAGCCCAAACTCTTCCAAGACAGAGATCTCAAGTTTCTTCAGGATGGTGATTAAATGTGGAACAAGGAAAGGTACAGAGATGTGTGAAAAAAGATGTGATCAAGACTATGCAGCCAAGTGAGGACATCATCCAGAGGTGACCCTCGCCACAGCCCCCCTATTTTGGGGCATCCAGTCACCTTTGCATCAGGAATGGTGTCTGCTTGACCTGGTTTGTAGTTTTTGAAGGTGGTTCCATAGGAGGAGAGTAGCAAGACAGAGTGTTGAATCAGTGTGAACAGCTTCTGGTAAGAAAAAACTCATTTGGATCAACTATTTTGATGTAAGGGGTGAGTCTCTTGAGGCACACTGGGCAAACCACACATGCAAGCTATTTTCACAGCATGGTTTAAAAAAAATACTAAACACTCTCCACTGATTCTGTTCTCTGAACTTTGCTTTTGCCCAAAGAGACTTTTTGCAGCTCATGACAGTTGTTGGCCCAGCGCTGTTCATGCAGATTCAGCTCCACCAGAATCATTGATTGGGGTAGTTTGTGTGTCCAATAATTGGGAGTACACATTTCTCCTTGATTTTTCTGTCCTCAGCAGTTGTCTTGATGATATCTAGGGCACATTTGGAATGGGGTATGTGTATCTGCAGCAGCATATCCAACTTTAAAAAACAAAACAAGTGATCGTAATTTAAATGCTTTCCTTTTGTTTCCAATACAAAGAAGAAATCCTTGTATGATGCAGTCACACGTGGCCTTACTGTAAAATTGACATGTTCTTAAATAATTAAAAAGGGGGATACTTTAATTTTGAAAAAGGATGCTGGAGGAAGGAGGTTAAAGGAAGCTTTTAGTCAGCTCCAAGGTTAGATTTATTGATCTAGTGATCAATCCCTTTCTCTTTCCTGAATTTAAAGTTAATGGGAGACTGTGGTCAGAGATGAGTGGCTTTTAGTTAAGGTTTTTGACTCTTATAAATAATACAACAAATGTCCTGGTAAGTAATAAGAAATAAGATACTGGCTCATTCTTTTTAAATAGAACAAATGTGGCAAACAAGACTCAGCTGTAATTTTTGAAGTCATTTATTAGACAAATTGCTCTTCTCTACTTCTTTTACAAGAGAGACATAAACCATTATATTATTTATTCATGAATCATAGCCATTAAGATGATAAATCAAAT